AATTTAAAAGATCTAAGATCGAAGATTGAAGGTTTGGACGAACATTTTTTGATCGAGAACTCAAATTATCAAAACGAGTTGTTTAAAAATTTGAAAAGCTATATTATTCAACATTATTCATTGAAAGCGTAATAAAGTTACATCGGCTCAAGTAACATTGTCACTTGTGTTATTTCTAGATGCACAAAGAAGTTCAACTCTACAATTTTCATTCCACTGCTCATCTCTTTTCATTTTGGCGTACTCTATTTGGTTGGAGTACTCTTTAGCTTTTTTGCTCTGGATATGGTAAAACTTGCCTATACTGGTCCACTTGATCACGTTGTTATCTTTTAGGGCTTGTACGACACCTTTGATTATTTAGTAATAATGACAACACTTTCAGGAGCGACTATGAGTTTCTTTATGCTTTTTCGTGGTGGTCAGAAAGTAACAGATGCGGTAAGAAACAATGAAAGTTTTCTGCAATTCAACATTTTATTTTTCAGTCCGTGCAGGTTCTTCAAGCTACACTGGATTGTCCATGGACTTGCTGGAACGCAAGCAATCGAAAAACATTTCAGATTTTTTTATGTAATTTACGAAAACAGTAGTTAAATAGTGGGGGTTCTAGACCAGGTCAAATGAGGTCAAACTGGTCCAGCTCCCCCATTACTTTTCATCGAGCGGTCATTGACCTTTCATTTGTTGTCGAGCTTGTCGGTGCACGTGGCTGACCTTGCCAGCTGGTCCAGCTCCCCCATTACTTTTCATCGGGCGATCGTTGACCTAGTCGTTGCTCGACCTTGTTCGTTTATTGCCCTCGTTCATCTCGAGATCTATCCCCTCTTTTCGTTTAGGTCGGGGAGGGATCTCGGACGCAATCTCGCATCCCCACTTCCGTTTTATACTTGTATAAAAGTCGATGGATTCGTCTGTAGGAATTAATTAGTTTTTTGAATTCAATTATTTAACACTTAGAAATGTCATCTTTCATTTCTACATTGAATAAAGAGTCTCACTTGCAGGCTTTTGTGAGTGCGAAAACTTTAGAAGAAAATAAAAAATTTTTAACAAAAAATTTTAGTAAACTGTCTACAAAGTACGGTGACAAGATATTTGTGGAACTTGAAGAGTCTAGAACGATACTTCCACAGAGATTTACCGAAAAATTCACCGACTCAGTGATCAGCGATCTGAACCAGAAGATCGTGAACGGCTTGAAATTGTACTTGGTAAATAGAGGTCCGATCGGTCGAACCATCAATATCGAATTTATCGAAGAATGAAGAAGGCATTGGTTCATGTGGAAAACAAATCAAGTGCAGTTAGACTGCTTCATCGTAGATTAGAATTACATTTAAAACGAATTAGTTATTTAAAAGAAGCAATTAAAATGTATGAAATAAGGACTAAATTGAACAATCTTAAGTTGTAATAGAAATTATAATAAATATTATTTAATTCGTTCGGTGTATTATTTTCCCCAGTCTCATGTAAAAAAATATTTGATTGCAAACCGTCATGAATAACAGACGTGTTTGTTTCGACAAAGTTCCGGTTATTTTCTTAATAAATGATAAAGAAAGCCGAATTAATACTTGGTTATACGATGTTAAAAGATTTCAAATGAATGTGGAACGTTTCGAATTGCAAATAAAGCCCTTAATCGAAAAAATGATGGAGGAGAAACGAAAATTTAGAGAAACAATCGAAAAATTGGATTCAGAATTGAAAATTATTCAGCAAAGAAAATAGTTAAATAGCTGTGCACATTGCAGTTAAACCACTGCGTCCTGAATTAGATTTAAATTTAAAACTTATTAGTTGCTTAAAATGTATAAAGTACGAACTTGTTTGTGTAATCTTAAGTTGTAATTAAAATTATAATAAATATTGTTTATTTCGTTTGGTGTATTATTTTCCCCAGTCTCATATAAAATTATTTAATTGCGAATAACCGCAACGAATAAAAGCCGTGTTTGTTCCGACAAAATTCCAGTTATTTTCTTTAAATAAATGTTCATCAGCAACTTTCCGCCGATTTAAGTTTCTTTGCACTCGAAATCTCGTACGTTACAATCAGTTCAACGTAAAAATAATTATGCAAAACACGTCCGTGATTATTAGAATAAAATGTCGGAAGGCGAGTGTGTGTTGTTTAAAATTAAAAAATGTTTGCTTACGACATTGAAAACAGGCAATTAAATTATCCGTTGTCCCTCGAAAACATTCATATACACGCACACATCACAGAAGTCACCATTTAGTGCAACAAAACCACCTTTTTCCCAAATCTTTCACGGTAAAATTCATAAACCGAAACACGCCGCCCGTCATTATTACAACACAGAATTAAATAACGCGATGCTGTTTCAGCAAATTCTTACGGAACTGGACGCTTTTGTCGCAATAGACAGGGACGTATTCGGAAATATTAAAAAAAAGAATTATCGCTTGAGGGTGCCAAAGGGCAGAAAGTTTGTTAAAAAAAAAAGTAAAAATGCATCCCTATAAACTAATGACACATTTGTGTAAAAATAAATGTGGGTTAGAGGTGCAATAATTGTTTAAATATAAAAAAAAAATGTTTTACTCGAAGACGGTAAGAGATATGAGGTTCGTGCAAAGAACAAAAAAGTTCCTAAAATACGAAACACATGCACCTGTGTCGATGGTTTTTAGTTTGAGTTTAGCATTTCGGAGAAAAGGGCAAAAGTTTGTGGTGACCAAACGGAATTAGTTAAAAATTTGTTTTTTGTGTCAAATTATTTTCGGATGAATAATCGATAGGCCCATATAATTAAATATGCGAAAATTTGAGTTTGGGGCGCAACAATTTTTGTCAAAAAAGGTTGTCAAAATTCGAAAAAAAGTTTTCCTTGAGCAGTAGGAAAGTAAATTAGAAGTTTTGGTGAAAAAAAAAATTTAAAAAATTCAAAGAATCCAAAGAAAAATTAAAACAAAAAAAATCTCAAAAAAAAAATCCAAATTTTGAAAAGTTTGTTTTTCCACAAAATCAAATGCATATTCATGAAGTACTATCTAATCGTGTGTAAAAATGATTATGACTCATAGGTGTATCTACCGTTTAAATAGAAAAAATTTTTGTTACTCGAAAATGGTAAGAGATAGGAGGTTCGTGTATAGAGCAAAAAAGATTGACAAAAACAAATAATATCGACAGCCGTCGACGGTTTTTCGCTAACTTTTGACATGACTGTGAAAAGGGCAAAAGTTTGTGGCGCCCAAACGGTAAAACTTAAAAAATATATTTTTGTACCAAAATATTTCTGAGTGAACAGTCTATAGGTCCACTTAGCAAAATAAATATTTTTTGCTACCGTTTAGTAGTAATAACGAAAAAACGTCATAGTTCGTAAGCGGTAAGAGGTAGCATGTCGGCTCAGGGGAACGGGGAAATGCTAAAAAAATTAAGGCATATGTTGAACAAAAAAAATTTTGAAAAAAGTTGAAAATAAGGGAGAAAAGGGCAAAAGTTTCTAGTGTCCAAATGGTAAGAAATAGAATATCGGTTGCATACATCAAAACCTTCTTCTGGAACGAACGCATAAGTTTGTTCAAAAAAATCGATTCTGTCCACGTCAACCTTGATACAGGAGCCATTTTTAGTTTTTTCGAGGTCGCTACGTAAAACTTTTTTCAGGTCGAAAAAAAGACCATCGAAAAAGGATTCGAATAAGCCCAACATGCAACACTTAAAAAAAAAAAAAAAAAAAAAGCGAAATAGGTTATTCTTTATATTTATTGTTATATGACTACTACCATCACAACTAAATATACTAAGACAGTAAAAAAAAAAATTCCAGTTAACCAAAAACCGCTTTTTGTTGAATTTTATATGAAAACAACAAAAGATCATTAAAAAAAAAAAAACGAAAACCTATAAACAGCCATCAAAAATCAATAAAAAAATCAATAAAAAAAAGAAAAACATCAAAAACAAATAAAAAACCAAAAAACTATCAAAAACCAACAAAAAACCATCAAAAAGCACTATTAAAAAAAGATATATATATATTGATACTTCTACTACTTCTAAATTTGTATATGTTAGCCTATGCTGTGGTGGTGGATCATGATGAGTCATATCGTGCTGCTGGACAAATAATTTAAAACGTATTAAATAACTTGTTGTTGTATTAAATCGTAGTTGCTAAATCTTTCTGAATTAGTGAAACTCTTGCATTTTCGATAAGAGAAAAACAACTGAATCGTCAACTTGAAATAAAAATTAGAGAGGGAAAAAGAGTAAAAGAAGGGATTAATTTCGTATATAAATTCAAGACTATATGAAAGATGTGATTATAACTGATTAACTAGTATCAAGAGAATTAACCAATAGATATCTAGGGACATGGGTAAGGTTATATTTTTATTACAGTATGTAAATTTCATATTTTTTTTTTGTTTTGTTTAGAGGATTTTATAGTTTGCCCATACGATAGGAGCCATCGAATGCTAGAGGGGAGACTCCAGAGGCATATATTTAGGTGTCATAGGGAGGCTTGGGAAAGGGAGCGACAGCTCCGCGAAGCTGCACTTCCCAAAGCATCACCACCGATACCATCTCAACCATCAAAATGGTTCAATTCTGAACCCCCAAAAGTAACATCACTCGAAAATTGGGACGACGACGCCAGTGGGACGTACGTTCCATCGTTGAAGGATGACTTGATGCTCGACAAGACATCAATAAATTTTTATAACGCTGTGTTCGGCAAAAATAAACAAAAATAATTTTTTGTTTTTGTCTGTCTCTACTCGTTAATTTGTACCACCCTACCAGAACTTACCATCTCTACAAGCTACCTCTCTAAATACTAACAGCGATACCATTCCCAAGGAGAACATGGACTTTTGTTTAAGAAATGCTCGTGTATGGTTTGTCACAATATTCCTGATATTATCGATACATCGATCCCACTACAGTATAAACAAGAATTTGTCTTAAGAAACAAAAGCCGCTGCAAGTCACCTAATTACACCATTATTGACGATTATAGTGGTTCCAAAAATTTTAGCGAAAATGCTACAGGATATTGTTTGGCAAAACCATTGATTTGGATATATACTTCCGCAGGAGCACACACACACACACACACACTCACTTACACACACACACACACACACACACACACACACACACACATCGGCCTGGATAATTTTTCGAAAGTCGCTGCGTAAAAATTTTTTCGTAAAAAAAAAAAAGATCATTGAAATAGGAATCGAATTAGCCCAACATGCAACACTTAAAAAAAAAAAACAAGCGAAATAAAATACTTATATTATTTATTGATATATAAATATTACTATTACAATACAAGCACCACTATCACTACTAATTCTACTACTAAAACATTTCAACACTTTTAACGCTACTAACACTACTACTGACACTATGAGATTATATACATTTTATTTTTACATATAGTTTCTTTAATTTGTCGGATTTTTGAATACTTTTTTTCATTTCGTTTTCTGCACCCCGCAATTCACTTTGTTCTTCCACTAACTGTCTTTGGAGAGTTGCAATTTGATTTGCTAATTTTTTAATGTTTTTTTTGCACTTTTTTTGTTTTTGCACTAGTTCCCTTTGTCGCGTATTATGTCTGTCCTGCGCTGCCCTACACTTCCACTTAAAATTATACAATAATGTAGATGCATTGTCTTCGTCTTCGAATTCATCACCCGAATCATCAGGTGCAGCAGGATGAGGTGTATCAGGGGCAGGTGTTGGTTGAGACGTCGGTGGTGATGGTGATTTGCGGACCGGTTGTTGCTGCTCCTCCTGCTGCTGTTGCTGCTGCTCCTGCTCCTGCTCCTGCTGCTCTTGCTGCTCTCTCTGCCTCTGTTCGTCTTCCTCCGTAACTCCGTAAACATTACGAAGGAAAGACAAGCTTTTTCCGTGCGCCTCTAACCCCTCAAACAGTGAGGGCGTCATAGAGACGCACGGCTCCTCCAGCCCTGATATATCTAGCTGGGAAGGTGTCTGGGAGTCTTCCACAGCGGAAGTGGAGGCGTCCTCACTTTTTGTTTTTAGTTTTTCAATTTCTTCCTCAGGTAGATCTGCAAGTCTACGCAGTTTGGGCAAAGGCGGCTGAAAATAAAATAAATACTTATAAACATTTCTACATTTTATGAATATAAAAACATTTTTTTTTTTAAATTAATCAAAAATAAAAAACCTACCTGTATCACTACATCCTGGAGGATGTTAATTTTTGGTTTCTTGAGACTCAAGGAATACTTCATTTTTTTTTTTTTTTTTCAACAATTAGCACTTAACACTAACAGACACAGAATTAAGACAAACAATTACGAGTTCCTATGCAAAATATATAGGAAAAATAATGCAGAATATGCAGAAAATAAATGGCGAAGAAGGGTGAAATGTCAAATCAGCAGTTTTACATGTCCATATATGGTCATTTAAAGATTGATTGCAATGAAGTAGGAGGGTGAAATGTCAAATCAGCAGTTTTTTCATGTCCATATATGGTCATTTAATAATTTATTGCAATTCAGCAATTCTTCAAACTATTTCCGTGTGAATTGCAATTCAGCAATTTTTTGATATTTGGTATATAAAAGTAACTTTTGTAAGCATGTGAGTACAGTTCACACATCAGATATGTTCTCATTAAAAAACACAAGTTTCATTTCTCGCAATCTTGATATATCTTCACTGAATGAAGAAAAACGTCGTATCATTCAAACAGTTGAAAGTTTGTTACATCAAAAATTTCGGTCGTCCAGAACTTTCATGGCTGGGGGATGTGCAGCGTTTCTCTTAGGTCGGACGTCTTCTTATACAGACATCGATATTTACGTCGAAGCAGATGAAAATACACAAAAATGGGCTAAGGATAACTGCGCAGACAATCACATGTCTAAATATGACTATCTTTATCAGTCCAAGTGGCCCTGCTGCTATTTGAAGTTTGATGGATTTATATTTAATATTATTTTTGTTGAACCTCGTCTTCAATTTTCGTTGGAAGCCAGAATTCTATGTATCCTTAAATCGTTCGACTTAACCGCGTGCAAAGTGGCAATACACTTTTCAAGTGGAATAAATCCTGTTCTTGTAGAATGGAAATTAACTGACCTGAACTTCGATAATGTCAAGAAAAAGGATCGCATCATTAAGTATAAGAAAAGAATTGAGAAAAATGAAAAGGAACAACGATTCGATCCCAACAGTTTGTCTATGTTGGCCTATACCGTCGTGGTAGATCATGATGACTCATATCGTGCTGCTGGACAAATACTTTGAAAGATATTTATATAACTTAATATTGTTATGCTGAATCATTGTAGTGTTGATTCCGTTAGATAAATATGTAAGAGGATATTAAATAAAACTCACAAACGTAACTAATTGTTTTATTGAACCAATATGTTTATACATTTTCAAACATTTATTGAACTATTGCATTTGCTACAGTGAGTGAAACAAATTAGTACTAAATAAAGAAACACACACACGCACAATTATTTTTGTGTGTCTTGACATGTTTCCGTTTGCCGCCTTCGAAACGATGATATATTTTTTTTAATATTTTCTGAATACGTCTCTGGCAGCGTGCGAGATCCAATGCATCGCAAGCTTTTTCGCTCTCCGTCATCTAACACCTTATTGTAATAATTTCGAAGGAATGCGGACATGTTTACGTTATTGTGGATTAATTCTGGGCGTAATTCAACGATTTCGAAACGAAATTGATATATGGCAACGATTTCATTATTTTGTACATTAATTACTGCATGTTTTTTTTTTTTTTATATATATATATATAAAATCTGGTGTGGATACAAAAGTTGAATATCCGAATTTAATTGGGTCGTATTTATTTATGTTAATTTTCAATCCCAAAATTTCATACAACGCCCAACCGGAATCCTTTTCTGCAAATTTCTCTAATTTTTTCATGATTTTATCAATGACGTTTTCTTCGTACCATTCTTTTAAATTTGTGTTTTGATCAATGTGTTATTTTTTGTTGAAAATGTTTTAATGTCTGTTTCACTAGAGTGCGGTTGAATAAAATTTGCCGAAAAAATTACATTTACCTTAAGCATTGAGTTTTTCACTTCTTTTTTAATTCTAAACATAAAGCATTTAAAAGATTGTTGAAAAAAAACTGAAGAGGATCTTTAACATGGTGGTTACTTATAAATCCTGTACGAATTCGTTGTTGAAAGCAGGATTCGACATCTTGCCATGTTACATTAGTCACCGATTTAAATTTGTTGGTTTTAATATAGCCTTCACCAGTTTTTATAGATAATAATTGTTTTTTCTTATTTAAAAGCTTTAGGTGATAAAATTTCAAATACGTCAAGCTTGTTCCTAAGGAATTTGCGTTTTCCAATATATTTTCTCAGGGGATTTTACATTTGAGTGCTTTTCTAATTATTATAATACTGTTATAACTAAAAAAATGTTTAGTTTCTTTGATTGTTTTGATTTTACTTAAGTATTCATGAATTAGCTTAAGAGAGTTTTTACATATAACCCTCACTGATTCTTGTGATTTCATTTTTTGTCGTGAAACTTGCTCACCACAGCAGAAAAAAAAAAAAAGAACACTACTATGACCCGTTGACTAGTTTTTTGTTTATATGTGAATTAATGAATGATTCACATAGATTTGATACTTCTGACTATGATTTATATAATATTTATGATATAGAACTTAAAAATAAGAAAGATGAAAATAACGGTAAGATTATGCTAGAATTTGTGGGTCTCAGATCTAAAATGTACGCATCTAGAACTGCAAGTTATGATTTCAATAAAAAATTAGTTAAGAAATCCAAAGGTAGTACAAAAGCATCACTTAAAACAATAACGTTTGAAAATTACAAAGATTGTTTATTTAATAATCGAAGTTACGAAAAATCCCAAAGACTCATCAAGTCCAAACATCATACTGTTTACACAGTAAAACAAGAAAAAGTAGTTCTCAGCCCCAATGATGACAAAAGAATTGTCACAAGATTCGCAACGGATACGAAACCTTGGGGATATCATATTTCGCACGTAATTTAAAAAAAGTGGGAATTGTCATATATAAGCAATTAAATTTCACTGATGTTGGTTATTTTATGATTACAACAATGTCTGACTTGAGACAATTTGTTGATTTACAAGCATTTTGTGCATCCGAAAGCGTGTACAAAACATATCTTAAAGCCGCTGCGAGTGATCGAACGAAATTAAATTTATTCCTTCATCTCATCGATAAAAAAGATTTTATTGTACCGGACGAAGTGTTTAAATGGATTGCCGAAAGTGAAAGTGACTTTTATACACTTGACATTTGTATTCTGCTACAAAGAAAGCAATGTGTCGATGGTTACATTGATGCATTTCTACGTGTATGCGAAAGCGACCAAATTGAAAATTTAAATTATGCTGCTTTGGAGTTTTTGATGACCACCAACTATTTGGACAATACTCTAACGTATAAATGTTTTATTTATAAATTATTGAGTGATAATCGCTGGCAGAATCTTGGAGATATATTCTATCCTGTTGAGAATATCCAGAAAAATTATCGAAGGATCGACCAGTGCGTGGATGAATTTATGTGTCGGGCTGCGTATTTGGCAAACCATAAAGCGCTCAGTACTTTCTATGAGTCTTTAGAAATAATAAATTACGATTCTTTCGCATTTCAACCTTCTCAAAATCAGGAGCACCGAAGAATTTTCAACTGGATCAAAAAGAACATTGTCAAAGGAGAAGCCAATCCTGAAATACCATTAGGATGGACAGAGGGACCGGATTCAACAAAATGGCCCTCGATTAAGTTAGATGATTATAAGAAAACTTTACATGTAATTTCTGGTAACCATGAATAAAATACACAAAAATGGGTTATATGTAGTTTTATTTACCCCCAAACATAATACAATAACAGATGAAATTATTTACATCACTCTGACGACATCTTGTGCAGGGATGTATTTTTCATTTCATCCTTATCGAAGTTCGCTGGTTTGTTTGGATAAGAACGATGTCTGGAATTCTTTAAACATATCATAGACAATTGCATACCGATTATTTGTGAAATCAACATTCATGTTTTTGTAGGGATACATGGTATCATTAAGGTACAATTTTACATCTCTCAGATTACAATGATCATATTGACTGTAGTTTTTCTTCAATTGATTTTTTCTTCCCTGTTGTAATGCAAAAATTATGTACTGTGATTTTTTTAAGAAAGCCTTAACAAAAATGGAAGGAAAAAAGCAAGGGTGGGGATTAATATGGTGTATAAATTAAAGATCACACACACACAAGAACGAATTAATAAGTTTCTTGCAAGTACATAAGTTAATACTTAACAGCAGAAATGGGTAAGCTTATACATTTTTGTTGTAGTATGTAAAGTTTTAAAAACTTTTTTTTTTTCTGTATAGAAAAATTTATCATTTGTCCTTATGATCCTAGCCACAGGCTGTTAGAGAAGAGGTTGAGAAAACATATTTTCAACTGTCATCGGGATGCCTGGGAGAGGGAGCGAAAACTCTGGGAGGCTGAACTTCCCCTATGGATATTTACTTCGATAGGAGCAATTATTTTTTTAATCGTATTTTGTGTGTTCCTTTATTTAGGATTAATTTGTTTCAGTTATTTTAGCAAATAAAATACTCCAACAAATGTATGATTCAATAAAACAATTAGCTACTTTTGATTGTTTTATTTAATATCCTTCACCATGTTAATCTACAACAAATGTATGATTCGATAAAACAACTAGCTACTTTTGATTGTTTTATTTAATATACTTACTTCAACATGTTAATCTAAGAGCATCAACGCTACAATTCAATACAATATACTCCACGGGTCATAGTAGTGTTCTTTTTTTTTTTTTTCTGCTGTGGTGAGCAAGTTTCACGACAAAAAATGAAATCACAAGAATCAGTGAGGGTTATATGTAAAAACTCTCTTAAGCTAATTCATGAATACTTAAGTAAAATCAAAACAATCAAAGAAACTAAACATTTTTTTAGTTATAACAGTATTATAATAATTAGAAAAGCACTCAAATGTAAAATCCCCTGAGAAAATATATTGGAAAACGCAAATTCCTTAGGAACAAGCTTGACGTATTTGAAATTTTATCACCTAAAGCTTTTAAATAAGAAAAAACAATTATTATCTATAAAAACTGGTGAAGGCTATATTAAAACCAACAAATTTAAATCGGTGACTAATGTAACATGGCAAGATG